TTTTTTTATTCTGTTTTCTTCTTTTCCTTTCTGTTTTCTTCTCTTCTTCTTCTGCTTTCTGCGCATAGAAGGGCAGCAAAATCCCTGGATTCACTCTTTATCACTTGCCGGGCCCAGGTACGGCCTGCTTCAAGAGCTATCATAGCTGGATGGGTAAAGACAGCATTGGTTGGGGCAAATATTTTCACTTCGCCTGGCAGTATCAGAGCTGCGGTAGCATCGTCAAGATGGGAAGGTGAGCTTCCGTTAGACACCATTCTAAAAAACGGCAACTGGAAGGGTCAAGAGACCTTTTTCAAGCACTACTTTAAGGAAGTAAAACGTGTGTCTTGTCAGAGACCTCTTCATAGTATTTGTAAGGAAACATTTGTTCCTATTTAGCAGAGTACCTGTTATTTTAAATAATGGTTTAGTTCATTTGTTTTTTGTATTCTTATGCTGTTCAATAAATGTTTGAGTTGTGTTAGAGCTGTGTTCTTTTACATATGCATACACACCGCGCAGACTTCTTTCTTAAGATGCAAAGTACCTGATAATATTTCTTTTCATCGAATCACAGTACGCTTTTCTACGTCGTCAGATACCAAACACTTCTCACCAGGGTCAAGCCGACGGCACAGACCCTGAAATATAACTCGTTTTTCCCCCGAAGGGTAGAAAACGATTATTTCAGGTCTTGCCTAGGCTTGACCCCAATAAGTCCTTGACGACTATTATGAGGTACTGAGGATCCTCCTGCATCGCGGCATTCGTGGCGTTACAACGGAAGGCAAACGCTGGGCCGCGACTGCGCAGAAGGGCTAGCCGACGTAGAATAGGAGTAGAGGGAGGGGCACAGGGGCATACATTAGGGTAGGGAATGGGGACGTAATCTCACCAGGGTCAAGCCTAGGCAAGACCTGAAATAATCGTTTTCTACCCTTCGGGGAAAAACGAGTTATATATAATGTTTCTGCCACTGTACCAGTGATAATCAGTCATCCTAGCTCCAATAACAGTGTATATTTAACACAAACACCGTCACCAGTTATGCCACAATTGACTCCCTCTCCCCTTATTCAGTGGATCGCTGCCACAAAACGTCAACCAACAAACAATCCGAAGTAGTTAATATTTTATCACAAGAAGTGATTCAACCAGAGACAAACTAGATCCTGTTATGAAAGCATCGGCAATGTATAGGATAGTACAAAGTAACCTTAATTTTGAGCAGCATTTTTGACTTTTATAAACAATAATTTTTTTTATTTTAGACATGCAATAAATATTTTGAGTTAAAATTAATGTAGTTTACCTTCACTAAATCCTTTAATACGTCATTGAGCGCCAAACATACTTCAGGAACAATTAGAGATATCACTTGGCTTGAAATTTTGAACAGGTAATGCAAGCTTCTATAGCTATCTCCAGTAGCTAAGTATCTTAATGTTACTGCCAGGCGTACTTTCACTGGAATTGCATCCCTCCAATCAGTATCATTTTTAGCAATCATTGGAGATATCTTCTGTAAAAGATATTCAAAATCGCTGCAAGACATTCGAACAAAATTGTCAAATTCTCCAGCTGGCTCCGCGTAAAGTTCTGCAAGCTGATTTTCCATGCTATTCCTGTAAAAAAAATATCGTGTAATAAAGGTTGATACGTTGAAATATGAGAATAACTTTAAGCATATGGTAACCAACCAAGACAATTACATCAGGAAAGTCCACATCAAAATTATCTTACATTACTCGACTAGTCCCTATTCAACTTACTTTGTTCTGTTTCTATGTATAGCCAGCATCCACCACCTTCTTCTTTACCATTTCTTCTTAATAACTCTACTGCGATACACACTCAAGTAGTAATTAAAAGCACTAAACAAATAAATAGCTGCGGCAGTTACCATCTCAACATCCATTTTTAAATTTTGCGTCCGTTGCATCTGTCGAGGCTTGACAGAGCGACCTGCAGACGTCTGCAGACGTGTGGTCAGCTCGTGGGGATTCACCTGCCGATGCATCTGCCGACATCCGCCGACGCATCTGAAGACGTGTAGTGGAGGCATAACAGGGAATACACACCGAAGCGCCGGCGGTTGGATATCACGGATATCACAGCTGATCGTACTGGTGGCGATGTTAGCCGCGAGGACGACGAGCGGGACCAGCCGACGGTGTTGCCACATGTAGTGCCACCTACTCGCAAGTACCCAGAGCGTTCTGATAGCGCGTGCAGCGTTCTTTTAGAAAATTCTAAAGACCTAGATGAACTTGTAGTTCATAATGATGTCATATTGTCTGATGACGTTTTACAAATGATAGGAGACGATCCGAATAAAGGTCAGGACGACCTTATCACTTTACATGATCAGATTGTATCCAGATGGCGCATTATTCTTGCTAAGGGACTAAAAAAGTCTGAAAGCTTAGCATTATTGGGCGACTATAATCCCCCAAAAAATTTGCCTACTTTAACTCCACCGAAATTAAATCCAGAGGTTAGAGCCGCGTTGCCAAAACAAAATATTACAACAGATTCTTCCAACATTGAAGTACAAAACCAATTAGGAAGAGGTCTTTCTGCCTTGGGAACAAGTCTCACTTTATCTCTCAGTCAACTAAATAGGTTGCCTGAAAATATCAGAACTGACCTTTTGAAAGGGTTATCTGACGCAGGCAAAATATTTGCTAACTTATTTCATCGTGTGTCAGTAACGCGTAAAAATTTAATAATTCCATGTCTAAAAAATATGAAAGATTTGGCGGATTCTACCGAACCGTCCGAATTCTTGTTCGGTGGCAACTTAAGTGATAAGCTTAATACCGTAAAAACTCTTGAGTGTGTTAACAAGGAGTTAAAATTGCCATCCACATCTAAGCAACCCTCTAGCAGAGGGCAAAACAGGGGGAGCCAGTTAAAAGCTACATCCGCCTCTCGGAATTTAAACTCTTATTACCCGACCAGTCGCCTGGGGGAGACAGGTCCTTACAAGGGTCAAACCTCCAGGAACTACCACAAGGAAACGTACAAGAAAAGCCAGTGGAACCGGCAGAAGGACAAGATCCCGAAAAAATATTAGTCCAGGTAAAAAGAAACCACTGGCAGGTCGTTTAAAATATTTTATCGAACAATGGGTTTCCATCACGGATGATCCTACTATTTTAAATTGGTTACAGGGATATAAGATACCTTGGGTCAAGAGCGCACCTTTGATGGGGGCCAGCTTATTCCTAAAAACTTATTAATTCACCTGAAAACACCATTTAGTATTAAAGAAGTGAAATCTTTAATAGAACTAGGTGCTGTAAGGCTATGTCAACCTCGCAGTGACCAACTTTTGTCTAACTTTTTCCTTATAGACAAGTCAAGTGGTGGGAAAAGATTTGTTCTGAATCTTAAAGAACTAAATGAATATGTTGTTTGCAACCACATTTTAAAATGGAAGATGCCCGAACGGCTACCAAATTAATTCAACGTGGCCACTATGCATCGACTATTGACCTAAAAAATGCCTATTATTTAGTACCTATTCATACGGACTATCAGAAGTATTTGCGTTTTTATTTTGACGACAAATTCTTTGAATTTACTTGTTTACCGTTCGGGTTCTCGTCAGCACCTCTTACATTTACGAAACTGATGAAACCCATTGTTAAAATATTACGAGCCAGGGGTATACCATGTGTTCATTATCTCGATTACTTTTTGATTCTGGGGAACTCTGAAGGGGAATGTAGGAAAAATGTGGTTTTATCTCTTTAGGCCTTATCGTCAATAAGGAAAAAAGTGTTCTAGCTCCGAGCATGAGGTTCAAGTTTCTAGGCCTTATATTTGATACAAATACCATGACTTTGGAGTTACCTTCAGACAAAAGACAAAAAATTTCAACATTGGCCAATAATCTTATTAGACAAAGAAGATTTAGAATTCTTAAATTTGCCCAACTTATCGGTCATTTGACATCCCCCTGTCCGGCGGTGAAATATGGATGGCTCTATACAAAAAATTGTGAAAGGGCAAAATTTTTAGCTTTGAAAGATAGCGACGAAAATTACAATGGTTATATGACAATAACCGCACCAATTCTGTCGGATTTAAATTGGTGGTTAATTAAAATTGATACCACTAAAAATAACTTGACGAGGGACAAATATGAACTAGAAATTTGCACTGATGCTAGCTTATCTGGCTGGGGTGCCTTTTGCCAAGGTGAAAGTTCGCATGGATGGTGGACATCCCAGGATAAGGAGAATCACATAAATTTCTTGGAATTACAGGCAATATTTTTTGGTCTAAAATGCATTGCAAAAAAACACTAGTGATTGTAGCATTTTAATCAGAACTGATAACACTACGGCCTTGGCTTGTATCAATAAAATGGGTAGTGTGCACCACCAAAATTTAAATGCTCTTACCAGAAAATCTGGCAAAAATCTGCGAAAATAGAAATATTTGGATTTTGGCATTATATATTACTTCCAAAGAAAACTGGCAAGCGGATAATGCTTCTCGAATATTGCGTACCGAAACCGAATGGTCTCTCAGCCGTGAGGTTTTCGCAATCATATCTGACAAATTAGGTAACCTGATATTGATTGATATATTTGCTTGTTTATAACAATAAATGTGGCAGATATATTTCATGGATAAAGGACCCAGGATCAGAATCAGTTGACGCTTTTACGTTCTCTTGGGGAAACTTAAACTTTTATGCTTTCCCGCCATTTTCAATGATACTTAGAGTCCTACACAAATCATTACTGACGAGGCGCAAGGCATATTAGTGGTCCCGTTATGGCGCACTCAACCGTGGTACCCACTGTTCGATAAATTGATAATAAAGCAACCATTATTTTTTGGACCCAGTGATAAGTTGCTTTTTTGTCCTTTCAGCCAAATGAAGCATCCGCTATCAAACAATCTTACCCTGGTAGCTGCGAGATTATCAGGGAAGCCTTTAGAAGAAAGGAAATCCCCATCAATGCCCTAGATACAATATTGAGGTCCTTGAGTGATAATACCATAAACCAATATAGCACAACATATAAATTATGGTGGGATTATTGTCAAATGAACGATATTTCACCTTTCGATTGTCAAATCGTTGACATCATTCATTCTTTCAGAGAATTTTGGATTCCTCCAATAACAGATTTGGCTCCTCTAATTCTCATCGGGCGGCCATATCATTAATAATTCAAGAGAACTTAGGAAATAATCCACAAATGAAATGATCTATTAGAGGTGTTTTTAGGCTTAGACCTCCTAAACCGAAATACGACCATACTTGGGATCCCCAAATAGTTCTTAACTATTTAGAATCCTCACAGCAGAGCAGCTTAACCCTTTAACTGTTGGTGGTCCCATTGAGGACCACCTCTGTTAGGTATCAATTTCGCGTAACCGGTGCGCTAAAAATGAGCCTTGCTGACAGAACGATATGTGTGGATTAGTCGGTGGTATTTTAGAGGACCACTACTGGTGGCTGAATACGTGATCAGCGCGCGCAACTATTATGTGGTCCCTTATCGGACCACCTTGCATAACGAGCAAGCATAAAAACTGTTTTCGCGCGAAGTGTTACATTGTGTTATTTTTTCTGACTTACTGGTGATCACGATAAAATATATTATAAGAATTGTCATCTGCACTGTTGTAAAGGTGAATAAATTAATGTTCGAGTAAAAAGTATCAGATAAATCAATAACTTTTGTCATATAAAGGTAAGTACCACACTTCTAACCTCAAAAGATAAATTTTGAATTTTAATTTTACATCTATATGCGACATCTTCGTTTATAGTTACATGCGTATGTTATTCAATATATGCTACTGATACTCAATACAAAGAGTGATTTTGAAATTTTATTCGGCTTACGAGTTATCGGAATTTGAATCTGGCACTTTTCTTTCAGAATATGACTTCGAAAACTAAATGGACGTTTCAAGAGCTTCAGAAAGCGACACAGGAGGAGCTTCTACAGATAGTAGCAGATTGTGAGGCAATATCCGACGCTCAGGCTATAAATTCCGATCTTGAAGGAGAAAGTGATGCCGACGACAATCTTCCATTGACAAAACAGTTTATTCCAAGTCAAAACCTACCACCAGGGCAAAGTCAGGCATCATTGTTTCAAGAAGTGTATCAGCCAATACTTCTACCACTTCCGGTAACGTTTATCAAGATGATTCAGATGATTCTGTAAAAGATCCCGATTATGAATATTCTGGATCAGACAGTGGATCTGAGATGACTAATGCTTGTAACAGTGGGATGAATGAATGTCAAGGAGCCTTAGACATCTCAACAAAGGACGTTGAAAATGATGAAGATGAACCAGAAGAGACAGGTGCTGATGGGGATGATATCGAGTTCATTTGGACGAAAATTGGAAGCCAACCAAAGACCTATAAAGATTTCAACTATAATCAACCACAAGGTGTCAAGGATATAGTTGGATTAACAAATGGCACCATCGATTCACCTGTGCAGTATTTTCACGCAATATTCTCGGACGTAGTATATGATATGATTATTACCGAGTCTAACAGGTACGCAGAGCAAAAAGGAGTTGGTTTGAATTTTCAACGGGATGAGTTGCAAGCGTTTTTTGGTATGCTACTGATAATGGGCTTCCATACCCTGCCAAGCCTAAGATTGTACTGGTCAACAGATCAAAACTTCCATGTAAGCCGCATAAGTAACGTAATGTCACAAAAGAGGTTTCTACATATTCTTCGCTACCTTCACCTAAACGACAATGAAGTTATGCCACAGCGAGGACAAGAGAACTTTGATAAGCTATATAAAATACGTCCACTTGTTGATATTTTGAACGAACGATTTTCAACCCTTTACGCTCCCTACAGGGAACTCTCCATTGATGAAAGCATGGTTGGTTTCAAGGGTCGTACTACGTTGAAACAGTATATGCCCATGAAACCAGTGAAAAGGGGATTTAAAGTTTGGGTGATTGCTTGTTCTCGAACCGGTTACAACTTGGGTTTCAAGATATATGAAGGCAAAGAGCAAACTGATTCGGCAGGTATAAGCCTGGGAGAAAGAACCGTTCTTACAATGTCTGATAAATATAATGGTGAGGGGCGCTGTCTCTACTTTGACAACTTTTTCAATAGTTTCCATTGCTCAAAATGCTTCTTGCAAAAAATACATTCGCATGTGGCACACTAAGGAAAAATAAAAAGTTTTTCCCAAAAAGTAAAATGAGGAACGATAAATCCCTGAAACGTGGAGAATCTGACTATTGCATGGCCGGTGATATTTCTGTATACAAATGGAAGGATCGAGGTACCAAACCAGTCCTACTTGCTAGCAATTTTCACGATCCAAGGGAAGAAACAACTGTTCTTAGAACGAATGCCCAAGGGAATCGCGAGGAAGTTATTTGTCCAAGTGCGGTATCAGATTATAATAAATATATGCTGGGTGTGGACAAGTTTGATCAGCTCATGTCTCCATATAATGTCTCTTGGAAAAGCAGGCGATGGTGGATGAAACTTTTAACTTTGTTTTTGATGCCTCAGTTGTAAATAGCTACATTCTCTACTCAGAAACGAAAAAACAGACTAAAGAGAAACCAATATCTCAACTACAGGACAAAAATTCAGTGCAAAGAGTGCAATGTTGGACTTTGCTTACAATGTTTTGAACAGTTTCATGTAAAAAAATAAAAGTTGCTTTATTGAAAGCTATCAAACGCATTTGACTTAAACGCACCCTAAATGTGTGGTGGTCACTATAAGGACCACCACCTGGACGCCATTTTGGAAACTGTAATCAACAAAATGTCAAATAAACAGTAGTTTTTGTCCCTGCTCACAAAAACTCAGGTGTTTATTACTCTTGTTGATGAAGATTGAAGTCTTGCACTATAAAGGGTTAAAATTTCTATCCGGTAAACTAGTAACTATTTTGGTTCTAGCAACAGGTCACAGAATTCAAACGATTTCCTTTATTAGATTCTCTAACATAAAATTTACAGAAACAAATATTGTAATATTGATTCCGGACTTAACGAAAACTTCAAAATCAAAGCTTTCCCAGCCTAGTATGGTTTTCCCTTATTTCTCACTTAATCAAAAACTCTGTGTTGCATCATGCATAAGAAAATATCTCAACGCAACAAGCACCTTGAGAAACCCAACCTGTGGCTCCCTCTTCATAACGCACAGTAAACCTCATGGCGCGGCAACAAAGCAACCTCTGAGCAGATGGGTGAAAGATATCCTCAAACAGGCAGGAGTGGATACCACAGTATTTCAAGCACACTCAACTCGACATGCTTCTACGTCATCAGCCTTACGAAACGGTGTTTCCATCGACACAATAAGGAAATCAGCAGGTTGGAGCACACACTCGGATAGCTTCGCAAAATTTTACAACAGACCATTGTCTGAATCTAATAATTTTGCCGAAACAGTGTTATCAGGGAAATAATGATGTTCTTTGGTTTAGGCATCAGTATATTGAATGCCCTTATTCTGTTACTTGTATTTCAGCTTATAATAAATATCCGTTTTTGCTTCATTTGTTTGATAACATAATGTTTATATCTCTTTAGGAAAGGCATTTTTTGGCAAACACTCTTTAAACATCTACACAATTATGTAATATTGAGGACTGGACCTGAAATATAATATATCGATCAAAAGAACTTACCTGAAGTTCGATCGTTATTATATGAAGGTCCAGTCCGAAAATATTACAATCCCTACACACCCAAGGAAGAATCTAACCCAGAAGCTATTTATGTGTTTTCCAAAAGATGCCGAATGAATACTTTAAAACAATGAGTTGAATACGTTCCGATGGAGCGACTGCAGAGGGCGACCGGCACAGGGCCGGATTCTTTTAATTTTACTTTGAACCTTGTGCTAAAAGTGAAAGGGACACATACTACACAATTATGTAATATTTTCGGACTGGACCTTCATATAATAACGATCGAACTTCAGGTAAGTTCTTTTGATCGATATATTAAAACGTCTCGCAATTACAAATGTGTATAGATAAATGCATATGGAATATATGGAAAAGAAAAAAAACTTTCGTTTTAAACGCTTTATTTCACGACGTTGCCAGCTCTTGTACCATTATATTAGATAACTATTCAAGGATTTCAAGGTCTGAAATCTGAACAAAGGATACCTACTGATAAATACGCACCCGAAATAAGACTCCTAATGTTATTTATGTCATTTTTTTCTACTTCTTAATAACCAATTGTAAGAATGAATGATGGAAGGAAGCGACTCAGTGGAGCTGAGTATAGAAAAAAGGCCAAAATGAAAAGGAAGAACAAGATTATCAGTAAAACGATCAAAATTGACAGTTTTCTTGAAAGTGGAAGTAGAAGCAGTATTGTAAGGCCAGGAACTTCAACCACATACAGTGATAATAATACCGAAAAACAAATGGGCTCTATTCAACAATCTGCTTTTGAAAAAACGGATATGTATGTTTTTGACAAAGAAGCGGTAGAAGAAACGTCAATTAGTATAACAACTGAAGATGCGTATCAGTATCACACGTCAAGTACAAGTAATGACCAAGTGCAAACAACAGTAAATCTAAATAAAGATCCAGCTTTATTGGAAATTAACGATACTTTAAGAGAGATTATGGCAAGGTACGGCTTCGATCAAAACAAGTCTTGTGACTTCTCTAAAAGTGAAAAAATATATGCGGATCAGCGTCGTTTCTTGCCAGTGAGTATCTTTCAAAGGAAGATGAAATATAATGAAGTGAAAGACCGAAATTGGCTAGTTTGTTCTGAAAGTAAAAATTCTGTATTGGCATTCGGTCCACTGCAGTATAAAACTCAGTTCGAGAACGAAGGATTTAATGACTGGACGACGATTCAATTACACACAATCACAAAAGGAGAAGAAGATGAAAATACATTATGTTTCCTAAAACACAACCCGAAATGCACCAAGTCTGAAGGAATATACAGTTTTTCCATAATAGCGTGTGGTGATCATGTTACAATAACAAGTGAAGAAAGTATACCATATCTTTGTGACCACTTGGACTCATGCTACGAAGACCCTAAAAAATGGAAATGTATAAACAAAGGAAACAGTGAACAGTGTCATCACTGCATATCTAAACATGTGCTCAGGATCTCAAGCCAGAGAAGTATGGCAATGTCAGTTAACAATGAGCTGCAAGTACCTGGGACTCCAGAAAATGAAAGAAAAATTACAATTGGGAAAGGGGAGATTATAGTCATCGTTGTCTCCACCATAAGTACTATAAGCTGCATGTAATCTTTATGCCTCATGTGTAACAAGAAAAAAGACTTTAGCAGTCACGTGATTATAATCTCTCTTACCACAAGCGCAATAAGCCTTTTTTCATCATTCTATGACATGATTTGAAATATAGAAAAAGTGTCACATGTGATCTACTGCAAGCCCAAACACTTCCTACAAAGCCAAATTACTTTAGTGCCATGTATTTTATGTCAATTTATCTTGTGTAATTTTTATTATTGTGAAAAAGTCTTGTTACTACTAGAAAAAATGCAGAACATCGAGTAGCTCAGCATGAAAACTCTGCCCGTCATAAATCAAGTATCCTTAGTTTGAAAGCTAGAAGTGAGATTGATGGCCGAATTGACAATTTATTGCAGGTCCAGATCGATGAAGGAATTACTTATTGGAGAAATGTTCTGAAGAGAGTTGTTGCCGTAGTCAAGCGACTGTGTTCTAGAGGCCTCGCTTTCAGAGGAAAAAATGAAAAGTTTGGTGATCCACATAACGGAAATTATTGCATGATTTTGGAACTGCTAGCGGAATTCGATCCTTTTTTAGCTTGTCATATTGAACGATTTGTAAATCAAGGATCAGAGAATACCAGTTACTTATCAAGAACCATTTGCGATGAGTTTACCCTGTTGATGGGACATACAGTCTTAACCCTTCGCCGGTCGCGCAGCGGTACTCCATGCCGCAATTTAAATTTTTAATACATTTTCTATCGGTATATTTGTCCTACGCCCTGGCCGTCTAGGTATGCAATCATGTCTATTTTTAGGAGCGCCTGGCTTGCACGAAGTTTATTGGTGTAAGTCTGTCAGTTTGTTTCGGAGCGTCAAAGTAACGAGAGCTGATCTGCGGTATTCCGTGCCGCAACGCGACCGGTCATGTAAGTAAAGTTTGAAATGATACCTTTTGTATTTTTGATATATATATATATATATATATATATATATATATATATATATATATTGCACAGAAAACTTTATTTTAAATAGTCTAAATAATCTGGCATTAGTTTTCAAAGTTTTGTAATTATTTTTGAACAAAAAAATATAAGCTCGGTATTTTTTTAGGGATAGAAGAGCCTTCAGGAAACCACTTACTGAGAAAGAGTTACGTTACATAGCGGAGAACTGGTCTGATTATGAGGATGATGTTGTCGATTTTGAGAGTGAAAGCGAAGGAGAAGAGGAAGTCATTGAAGAAGATTGCTATAACAGTGAGTCGGAGCAGTCCGCTGATGAATTTTCCGAAGAAACCGAATCCTTTTTTGGGCCAAATGAAAATGAACGCTTTTATATTGGAAAAAATGAAGAGACAATTTGGAAAAGCACCCCTGTAATTCAAGGTAACAAAACCTGGGCTAAGAATATTATTAAAGTTTTACCTGGATCAAAAGGAGCGGCCAAAAATGTGTCAAAATCGTTAGATTCGTTTCTTCTTTTTTTGACTAGGGATATGGTATTGTGCACTAATATTTATATAGAAAATGAACTTGCAAATTTTTCCCGAGACCGAGATTGTAAATTAACTTCTTCCGATGAAATTTTGGCATTATTTGGAGCACTTTTCATAATTTCCATAAAAAAAGGAAACCATGTGAATGTTGAAGAGCTTTGGGCCAGGGATGGGACTGGAATGATTCTGTTAAGAGCACTATTCAATTATAAAAGATTTTTGTTTCTTCTTCGTGCCCTTCGTTTCGATGATATAACAACAAGAAAAGAACGCGAGAAATTTGATAAATTAGCAGCGATAAGAACGATATTTGAGGATTTTGTCAAGAATTGCATGGAACATTATAGTTTGGGGGAGTTTATCACAATAGACGAGATGTTACATCCATTCCGAGGACGATGCGGATTTGTTCAGTATATGCCACTCAAACCTGCTTAATATGGCATCAAATTATATGCTCTTTGTGACAGTAAAACGTATTACACTTGGAAATTTGAAATATATTGTGGATTACAACATGAGGGACCCTTCAAAAATTCAAACAAACCATTCGATATTGTGCAGAGATTAGTGGAGCAAATAAAAAACACTAAAAGAAATTTAACTACAGATAATTATTACACTAGTTATGAATTGGCAGAATATCTTTTAAAAAATGGTCTAATTTTGACTGGTACACTAAAAAAAAAACAAAAGGGAATTACCGCCTGAATTCCTACCGAGCACGTTGCGGACAGTTGGATCGTCTATGTTTGGATTCCAACCTGATGTCACTTTAGTATCCCATGTTTCTAAAAAAATAAAGCTGTAATTTTGCTGTCCACCATGCATAACAACGATGAAATTGATGAGAAAACACAAAAACCAGAAATAATATTACATTATAACAGAACAAAATCTGGCGTCGATACAGTCGACCAAAAATGCTCTTCGTATACAACACAAAGAATCACAAGAAGGTGGCCTCTAGCAATATTCTTTAGAATTTTAGATATTGCAGGAATAAACTCCGAAATTATAATCAATAATAATAGACCAGCAGATACGCCGCCAAGAAGAAGGAAGTATTTGACCTCTCTAGGTTCATCCCTTATGGAAAATCATCTAAAGGAACGCCCTTCCTAAGGACATCAGGGAATTCCTATCTCGCGCTACAACACTCCTGTTAATGTCCCTGTCGCACTGACTGAAAATCGGATTGGTCGTTGTCATATATGCAGTGCACACAAAAATAACAAAACAACAGTTACCTGTAGTCAATGCAAAAGATTTGTTTGTAAATCACACTGTGAAAAATTGGTGCAATGTAATAGTTGTCTTTATCCCCCAATGGAGGAAGACTAGTTTTTAAAAACTATATATACTCGTATATATATATATATACATATATTCCTTTTTGTAAAACGTTTACTTGTAGAAATGTATTTTTGATTTTTATTACTTGAGAATCTCTTGATGTTTTTGTATTTATTTTGAGTTACAATACTTATTTAATAAATAAAGCATTTACTACGACTATAATTGTTTAGTATTGTATGTATTTTTCAATTTAAATCCATTTTACTAGTGAGGCTAGAATTATTTTACCTGCGGTATAGAGTACCGCGGTGCGACCGCTCATGGGATTTTCAAAGGCGCGCCCGCCGCAGGGTTAAAACAGATTGGAAACGAGATAAGAGAGGCGAAATAATATTCCCTAATCATCAATTCAACACCGGATATATCACATGTGGATCAACTTACCCTTGTCATTAGATATGTTTTGGAAACAGGCGAACCGTGCGAAAGATTTCTCAAGTTTTTGTCGTCAATGGGACATAAAGCTGAAGAAATGTTTTCTGCCATTATTTCGGAACTCAAGACACTAAACATAAATATAGAAGACTGTCGTGGACAGTCATAAGATAATGCCGCGAACATGTCTGGCATATACAACGGCTTACAAGCAAAAATTAAAGACCAAGCACCTTTCGCTTTTTACGTACCTTGTTCTGAACATTCTTTGAATTCAGTGACAACTGCTGTTGCTGAATCTTGTACAGAAGCTTGTCGCTTTTTCATGCTGCTACAGGAAATTTACGTTTTTTTAGTAAGCTCGACACATCTCTGGCAAAAATTAACCAGTGAAATCGGGAAAGGCAAAACCCTGAAGAGAGTGAATGTAACACGTTGGTCAGCCAGAGAGGACGCTTGTAAGAGTTTGGGAGATTCTTGGCACGAAGTTCTTGAAACTTTGGAATCAATCAAGGACGATTGTACCGAAAAGCATGTAATGCCAAATGAAGCGGCGGGGATACTTTTTAATTTAGAAAAACCGGAAACGGCGGTAATGGTTGTTGTTTGGAATGATTTTTTGGAGAGAATAAACAAAGTTAATGTTCTAATTCAGGCTTTCACCGTAGATTTGATCACCGTTGCCGATCTTCACGAATCACTCTGTAAGTTTTTCGTAACTGAACGAGAGAACTTCAAGTATTTCGAAGAAAAAGCGATGGAATTAAGCGTATCGAAGCAATATACAACAGATATTGGAAAAAGGGCAACCTAAAAGAAAAATAAGATTTAACGAAACACCCGATGAAGAAATTAGAATGACTGCGAGTGAAACTTTCTGGGTTAACACGTTTCTCATCCTCGTACATAGACTCGTGTCCGAGGTAGGAAAACGTCAGGAGGCTTACAACAGGTTTAACGGGAAGTTTTCATTTCTAACTAAAATAGGTGAGTTGTCAACATCGACCCTAACGAAAAAAGCAAATTTCTTGGAAAAAATGTATCCTAAAGGTGCGTCCAGACATGCAACAAAACATCGTATCGTAACACCGTCGCGCATCAAGTCTAGACCACACTGCGTAACAGCGCAACACCGCAACATTGAGGGGTCCGATCGGTTGTCGGTTTTCTGCCGTCGCAACAAAGGAATGTTACGCGCTGATGTTGCACCGCTTGTTTGCTTGTTTGGACGGGTGTGCGTACATACTCGCGTTTTATCTTCCGTTGTATTTATTTAGTTGAAACAATTGCAATGGAGTGGACGGAAGCATCTTCTATTGATTTTATAAATAGTTACCAAAATAAAGATATTTTGTGGGATACAAAACATCCGAAATATTATAATAAAATAAAAAAGCATGATGCTTGGGAAGAACTTGCTGTATAATTTAAAACGACAGTAGATGAATGTAAAAAAAATGAATACTCTATTATCAGCACTTAGGCGAGAGAAAGACAAAATTAAAAAGAATCAGTACTGGAAAAGGTAAGTTTGAATGAGTGAATTTTAATTTACTCTTGATATATTTTTATTTAGGTACTTTTGAATTACAAATTGTTTTTTATTTATTATAGGGCTTTCAGATGTCTACGAAAGTAGTTGGTATGCATTTAAAAGTATGCAATTCCTTTGGGACAAAAATCAGGTTCGAGAAACACAAAGCACTGTGTGTATTAAATTAAGTACTACATATAGATATCTTGCCACAAAACTCGATGATTATTTTGAAAGTACGCTGCTAATTCGTCTCTAATTAGTGCTGCACTTCCGGTGGGTTTTCTGGGAACATTTCTAATTGGAAGCAATGAGGACATTGTTCCATTGGTTATAGTTTTATAGGTTCCTTCTATAAGCGTTCCTTCATTTTCTGTATCGAAAGTTTCACGTGGCGTATACAGAGCAGCAGATGTGGAACTTTTCTTTAAAAAATTATGTAGTTGAGCTATTGCCATTATAATTAATTCGGCCTTCTTAGGTTCAAGCAATATTGGTTTACGAAGTACCCTAAAAACGGCTGAGGTAATGCCAAATACATTTTCGACAGTTCTTCGTGCGCGAGATAATCTATGATTAAACACTCTTCATGGTGATCCTTTCGGATGTATTCCCAAAAACGGTTTCATTAATGAATCAGTTAAAGCAAATGCCTCGTCTCCAATAAAAAAGTAGTGAATTTTCAGTTGCATGCCATCCTAAGCTTCCGGTTCGGGAAAATTTAAATTATTTGTACTAATTTTTCGTAAAGAGAGCAATTTTTAAAGATACCACCATCTGAAATTCTTCCTTGTCCTCCAGCATTGACATACAAAAAGTTGTAAACAGCATCCACTAAAGCAAAAAGAACTACACTGAATGTTGATTTGTAATTAAAAAACTCGCTTCCAGTGTTTATTGATGCTTCTAAACAACATGTTTTCCATCTAAGGCACCCAGACAATGTGGAAACTTCAGGTTTTCTCGTATTGTTTTGCCACTTCTATCCATTTTTCTGGTGTTGTTGGTATCTGAAAATTGAAATAAACAACTGTGTCAAAAATTCGGCAATGTTTTTATTACCCAACTAAACTTTTTTACTAAATATTTATTTTAAACAAAAGTTAGATGATACTCCTAATTATTTTAGATTGAAGATGATGAAGAAGGTGAAGGTGAAAAAGATATACCGAGTGAAGAACCTACATTAGCGGATAGCGATAAAAATTCTGCTTCACAAGAGATTCAAGAGAATATAGAAAACAGACCGAAAAGGAAACTAACGGAGGTGACACCTAGAAAACGCAAAAAGGAGTGAAGATTCTGAGAAACTAGATCAAGCTTTTAAAATATTGTCCGATGCATCAGCAAATGCCAATAACCTACGGGACGAAAATGAATGTCAGATATTTGGAAATCTTGTGGCTAAAAAACTGGTAATGTACAACAAGATATCATGAATGTTTTATTTAATGCAGACAGGATCATCTCAGGCAAACTTCAATCAATTTGGATTATTTGCAAACATAGTGTACTCATAATTTTCAGTCAGACTTCACAAATTCTATGCCACAACATTCTCAATTTGAACACTATCAGGATAGCCAAAGATCTAATTTTACTCAACAACAATCATAGTTACCATCTCCAGCATCTACTTATGATAGTTCTAGTATTTCGATTCATTCAAGTCGCACTACTCCAGTCACTACCTCTTTACCACACCAATTACTGGATATGCCCGACATTGAATTAAGGTATTTATAAAAAAATATTTTCAGAAATAGTGTTTAACATACTTGTTTAATAAAATAGTTTCTTACCTGTACACTTTCTTTTTATACTTCTACGATAGCTTTACATACTTCAGGAACTATAGTACTTATCGATTGTTTAGACATTTTTAAAAAGATATTGTAGACTGGTATAGAAATCACCAGTCGGCACAAAACGAATTGTTACTGCCAATCTGTCTTGGAAAGAAATTGCCTTCTCCATCTAGTATCTTTTCGTCCTATTTTTGGTCCAATTACATTAATCAAATACTCGAAGTCTGTTGGAGATATTCTGGTAAAATTTTTGTAGAGGCCACTAATTGCCTGAAATTTTAAATCCTGTAGTAAGTGTCTTCCACTGTATGCCCTTCTATTAGTATACAACTTTGTCTGCCACCAGCGTCTTTCTACCCGCGTTTTTTTATTTTTCGAAATAATGCATAAATATGTAAGCTGCTGCAGAAACCTCCATTTCGTACCAATCGTACCTCACAACTAGAAAAAGACAATTCAGACGGAACGGCAGTATGTTCTGCTGCTAGATTACGCGATGATGTTAGTATTTTTGATCATGTCGTAATTTCGATGCGTAACAACAATTGTTGCGTGACGGTGTTACGATACGATGTTTTTTGCATGTCTGGATGCACTTTAACGATTTAGAAACTGACCTAGTTCAAGAATGCGTACACCTTCAAGGCCAACTTTCTTCTCAAAGAATTTTAATAAAACTCAGGTTCATTAAAAAGTCTATCTTCGTTTCTGCAAATCAGAATTTGGAGAACATTTATCCAAACTTGGATATAGCAGTTCGCATGGCTTTGTGTATACCAGCGACAAATTATTCGGATGAGAGAAGCTTTTCTTGCTTAAAGCGGGTGAAAAGCTATCTACGATCTACAAGTCAAGAAAAGCTAAATACTTTAGCTCTTTTGTGCATAGAGTCAGAACTTATGAACAATATTTCATACGATGGTTTAATTGACGATTTTGCGAATATAAAATCGCGCAAAAAGGTAATTTAAAACTTTTATATCTTAATTGATTTTATTCTTATCAAGCGGGTTCTTAACCCTTAAACGGGCAGCGATAGAAGTAGGTCTATATTAAAAGTCCTGACTAATTTTTTGAACTTTTATTGATCAAATACAACAGAAAATAACATTTTTCAGATAAAAAAATTAAAATAAAAAAATACTAGTTGTATCTTCGAATGCACATTGCTTCTAGGAGGAACATTACTTGGAATGGTAACTTGTGAAGCAGTTTCTCTGATTAGCTCCTGATACGATGCATAAGCGCAAATTACATTTTTGACATAAAATTCTTGTTTGTCCATTTGTGCAAAGCCTACAGCGTTATTTTCAGTGAAAACTGGAAAGTGTCCAACGTTGTCAAACCGGACACCTTCAGTAGGCCGTGGAGCAACGGGAACCTTTATTTTGTTTTGAGGGAGCAAGTTTGCTGCAGCAGAGTTCTTTTTCTGGGTACGTTACGAGATTGAATCAAAGACTTTGCGATGTTTATTCTGAAGTCTTTGAGCTTATTATATTTTTCGCTGGTGAGGCTAGATCTCTCCGATACAATAGCCAGGCATTATTGACAGCTATATCAATAATCTGACTAAACATAGCGAGATACCATCGCTTTGATTTGAAGGGAGTCTTGTACAGTGAAACCAGCATATCAGATAAATCTACGCCTCCCATATGAATGTTGTACTGTTTGACTATTGAGGGCACTGAACGTTTACCTTTTTCTTTTGTTCTTTACTAAATCGGCTAACTTCAAACACTGGACTGTGCGAAATGTACGAACTCGCCAGAGTCACACATTTAGTGTCTGCCCATTTTATCACCGCTAGTCCCACGGAATTGTCTACTCTGTAATCAAAGCTACCTCTCCCCTTCGTAGAAGTTCTTTGTCACTTAGCAAGGGACATCCTCTAAGTCTGTTGCTTCTAATGGTTTCCCAAACTTGCCAATTTTTTTTATTTTCTTCAAGTAGTCAATTAGTTCCAATGAACAAAGGAAAGTTATCAAATAGACGAAAGACTCTTCTGGTTTCTGAATAGTTCTGCACAGGACAAGTACCACTTTTGCACCAAGTCCCATTTGTTGTTCCCTCCTTTGAAAATAGAATTTCTTCAAAAGTACTAGAGCCGGTATAGATGAGAAAGTCTTGCACAATCCCTGACACGCCTGCTCGAACGAACATCTTGAACCCCCACTTCTTGGCTTTTTAGGCATATATTGGCGCAGACTTCCAGCTTTCTTGCCTTTGTAAGCAATCATCATTTCATCTATAGAAAACAAACCTTCCTCTTCGATAGCTATACATTTTTGTCGCAGTTTTTCTATAAGGGGGCGAATTTGAATAATCTATCTCCTTGCGGATCAGTATTGTTATCCTGAAAGTGTATGCGTCTTCGCAATTTCTTGAAGCGCTTTACAGGCATAACATCGGCAATAATACTATATCTCGTTTCTATGGCCCAGTAGTCTTCGATGTTGGCATTTGGACTACCCCCATTATCAACTCAATTCCTACAAACGACCTTATTTCATTAGCTGTAGTATCAATAGAACGCCCAGTTGTCAGTGCGGAGTAAATATTCGTTTGTGTGGCAATATGCTCAAACAAATCATCGTCAAAATTTTTTCGAATAAGCAGAGGGGAATATTCTCCGTCTACTCCAGCAAAAAAGACATCTTTTGGATATCTGATGTGTTGGAAAATCTGTTTTGCTCCAAGTGTTAACGTTTATCACCACCTAGTATAGAATTATCTCTCGATGTTTGCACAAAATTCGCTAAAGGTAAATCATCTTCTGATTCCCAGTCGCTTGAAGTATCAACTACTGGTAAGCATTTGCGCTTCTTAGATGTGGGCGGCTGCTGATAATCGGGGTCCAAATCGCTATAGTCTCCGCCAAACAGCTCCTCCTCATCTGATGATTTGCCAACGTCTGATACACATGGATCGTCCGGTGGTAGCACAACAACAATACGTGGAATCTTTGCTGCTTTTCCGTAAAATATGCGGGGAGCGATACCCTGAAATAGTTCTGAAGTTACCATGTATTCTAACATAAATTGCGTATCAAATGCCTTACGTTATTTTTAATGGGCAATGTGCATCTAGGGATACACACATTTGTAAGACAAAAACTAACCTCAAAAATTTATTCAATGAAAAACTAAAGCAATGAAGACGCAAAGGAAGCATCAGCTTTCATAATTATATTAATTACGAACACCCAGAGGCTGAAATAACTAATTTGTACTATATTGAGCTTACCGGAGTCAAAACTTGTTGATTATCCATAACAATGACACACAGTACCACCTACCATGCGGACAACTGCAAATAAAATGAACCGGCATAGGCGACACAACGTTGCTAGTGAATGTATCTCACACTATACACCGCCCAATTCGCTACATTTTAATGGGTTTTTACATACATGCCAGTACCATGTGACCGTATCTCAGGAGAGACATCGACCGTTTAAGGGTTAACACATACACTGTAAGTCCAATAAAAATATATAACATTTTTTAGTTTTTTAGTTGTAAAATTTGACATTTTCTTCCACCTTATTTTCTCCGTGTAGGGTATCGAAATGCAGAGATCACAAGGGGCCTACTGGCGGCAAATGTGTTAATCCGCCACTGGACATAGAGCCGTCATGACTAAAAACCGTTTTTCAATTCTTCTGTCTGCAATCAGATTCGATGATTTAGGAACAAGGGCAGAGCGGAAAAAAGAAAATCCAGCAGTGGCAATATCACAAATCTTCAGCAAATTTATTGACAATTGTCAGCATTCATATGGAATGGGGCGATGCGGTGACAATCGATGAAATCCTTGTAGGTTTTAGAGGGCGAACGCATTTCAAGATGTACATTCCGAACAAGCCACGCAAATATGGCATCAAAATAATGTGTTTAACAGATTCCAGAACAAGCTATCTCTATAACGCGTATATTTATACTGGAAAAAATTCAGATATAATCGGTCTGAGCACTGAAGAGCAGACATCTTCGAAGCCAACTCAGGCAGTAATACGCTTGGCAAAACCTCTTTTTGGTAGTAATCGAAATATTACAGCTAATAATTGGTTTACATCTATAGAGCTTGTGGATATTTTGTGGAAAAACAAACTCACCTATATCGTCACAATGAAAAAAAAAAACGAGAAATTCCACTTGAATTTTTGCCGAGTTAAAGTAGAGAAGAAAATTCGTCATATAGGGCAATTCTGTTTGTATCTTGCCTAATATATTGCTATCTTAACCATATCGTTTTATCAAACTATTAACAATACTGGTTACAAAATTCATATTCTGTTCACTACTTCTTAGCAGGTATTGTTAGAAGTTTCGGGAGCTAGCAATTTCGCTATAAATAAAGAGATCACGTGGCTACACTGGCAGGTATCTGTCATCTTTTTACATTTTTCCGTTCTGGGTCAGGAAACTAGAAAGTTAGGAGCCTTGTCATTGTCAGTGAGCTACATAACCTCACATTTTGACCGATTGCATCCTACATTTTCAAGTGCAAACTATTCTTTCGAGGTGTTCCCCTGTGCGTTCTGTATTCTTCATGACGACTTCCAGAAGCAAACGAACAAACAAAGCTCAAATGGAGATCATTATAGATTTTTTAGGGGAGAACCGTATACTTGTCACGCAAAAAATGCACCCGCAAAAAAACGGCGACTGCGAAAACTTGTGGGATAAGTTAATTGAAAAACTGAACTCTGTTGAGACCGGTGCTAGGAAGGACACAAAAAAATGAAAAATTGTAAGTAATCGCATTATCGGGCAGTAGTAGTAATATATAATAAAACCATCATTCTTTTGTTTCTGTATGAGTGGAAATCAAAAACCAAAAGCTCGTCTATATAAACATTCCATCACGGAAACGGGAGGTGGTGGCTACACTTGTAAAGAACTGACGGATTTACAAAACAGACTTTAACATGTATTGGGTGGTTGGATCCATATCATGGGATGTCC